TTTCTCAGCAACATTGATTCCTCCCTTGCTATGCTTTGCATTTGTCATGTAGAGCGTACTTTCCTTCTTGCCTTTGGCCACCACAAGAGAACCTCTTGAGAGCTTCCATTTTCCTTCTCCAAAATAGTTGGTATAACCATCATCATCAAGATTTCCCGTGGATATCAAATTCAGCCTCATGTCAGGAACATGTCTCACATCCTTCAAGACTAGCTTGCAACCCGTGTTGGTCTCTAGATGAATATCACCCATGCCAACAATCTTTGATGCGCCATCATTTCCCATCCTCACACAACCATAGTTACCGTTTGTGTAGGAAGAGAAAAGATCAACCCGTGAGGTCACATGAAATGAGGCACCCGAGTCAACAACCCATGTACTCTCTTGACAAGCAAGGTTAACAAAACCGGCATCACAAACAATGACTACATCACCATCTGTGGCAGCAGCAGTAGTATCATCTTTTTCTCGGTTTTCCACACCTTTTCCTCTAGCTTGTTCCCGTTTCAAGATTCTGCACTCTCTCTTCATGTGTCCGGGCTGGTTGCAATGATAACATGTGATTTCTCCTCTTGGTCTTGACAATGATTTTGATCTCCCTTTTGATCTCCCTCGGCTGTTACTTCGATTCTGAGAGTTCTTGAAGTTGGAATTTCGATTTCTGCTTCTTCCACGACTTCCAGAATTATCCGCCACCAAAGCATGTGACTCTGATGTAATCTCCAACTCTTTTCTCCTTGCCTCTTCATTCAGCATGCTATCCTTGACAATGTCAATCGTCAACTTGTCATTAGGTGCTGAGTTGCTAAGTGAGACCACCAAAGTCTCCCAACTATCCGGCAAAGAACTGAGAAGTAACAATGCTTGCACTTCATCATCAAGTGCTAACTTCATAGTAGTTAGCTGGTTCACAAGCCCTTGAAAGTCACTCAAATGCTCCGAGACACTATGCCCATCCTTGTACTTCAAGTTCACAATTCTTCGAATGAGTGAGGCTTTATTTTGAGCCGATTGCCTCTCATACATGGACTCCAATTTCTGCCACAATTCATCTGCTCTTGTATCTTTTGCAACATGATGAAAGATGCTTTGGTCAATCCATTGTCGAATGATTGCCACCGCCTTTCTATGCAAGACCTCCCATTGCTTCTCGGTTTTGTCTTCCGGCTTCTCGCTGCCATTTTCAATTGGCTCATAGAGATCCTTGCAAAACAGAATATCCTCCATTCGTGGCTTCCAAATAGAGTAGTTGGATGATGTCAACTTAATCATTGCTCCACTTGAGTCATCCATTCTTGCCATTCACCAAACACAGCCCCCAAACAACCTAATGCTCTGATACCACTGTTGAGAAACCGGACAGCAACCACAAGCAAGAATAGAATGCACAAGACACACGATTTTTACGTGGAAAACCCAAATCGGGAAAAACCACGGGACCTTTGTCCAAGCCACAACTCCACTAGACTTTGGTGGGATTACAAGTCCTCTCTAGACTAGCTAGAGGATTACAAATACCTCAAGAACACCCTTCTTGGATCAACAATCAACCATAATATCTCTCACCAACATGGTGGATACCAAGAACAAGAGCAAGACAAAGAGAGGTTTAGAGATACCAAAAGACAGATTCGTACACCTTCTGTCCAGGAGCGATTCCGACGAACTAGACCTCAGAATGACGATCCATCCGGTCAGAATGAAGCCCAAAGAATCGCGAACCCACTGTCCAAATTTCAGGACGATCCAACGGTGCAATCTTCCAGAATGCTCACTTGAGCAGACTGCCCTACTGCAGAAACGAAAAACTCCAGCTCTTTCTCTTCTCTCTTTTTTCTTATCTCTTCTCTTCTCTTTTCTTGATTCTCTCTCTACCAATGAAAGGCTTTCAACTCTTTTCACTTTTGAGTAGCAATAACTCTCTATTTTGAAAATAGAGGATCTTCTAGAAACCAACCAAAACTCAAACTCAAACCGGTTAATCCAACCACCATATGAGTTGGACCAACCCAACATTACTCGACCCAACTCAATACCAATTATTATCTCTAACATCCAACCTGATAACATTCCCCTATAATAAAATCGCCCATCCTATTAAAATTTACTAATCTAATCGTTACGAATGCTCTATTTTAATTTAATTTCAGTCATCACCCATGGACGATATTATAGGCCATGTAATGCACGTGCTCAGTGCTCTTGTGGCCTTGCATCCACCACAAACCAGGAATTCTAAATATTAGGATGAGAAATGACACTGAAGCCACCGCAAGATCGCCGACCGGATTCACGGTTTCTGGTGCCGTTCACGTCTTGGGTCTCCCGGCGGCGGCCAGGCCACCTTAGCCCTTTTGTCGGTGCTGCTTCCACCTGTCCATAGATTGTCGTGGGCCATGTGGTCAAACCCAGCTCCATTATTTCCCCTCTTTTTTTCCTATCTGTCTTGCATATATGCCTCTCCATTTCTCTACGCCAGATCGAATAAGAAAAACTTACGGTAATTGATCTCAATAATTTGAGTTGTTGGTAGAAGTTCATGTATAGTATTAATTATTTTTTACATGTCCTTTCAAACGAAAGCCAGAATTTGAAGTTTGTACAGACCCACCATACTATGTGCTTTAAGACAACGGTTAATATTAGGGATTATGAGAACTTGAACATGTGATCTTAGGGACAAACTAGCTCTGATACCATGTCACAAACCAACTAGCCTTAATAACTACGGTTGTTGGGAGAGTTCCAAGTATGGTACTTAACCACTTTCTTACAATTCTTCACATACATAGTGAAATATGTCTATCTAAACTATGAATTAAACATAATTTGGAATATGATGATCTAGCCTAACATTTAATGCATAAACTCATAAAAATATAGATCAATTCGCTAACTACAATGATGAGATATCTCATGAGTTCAAAACGAATTAGCTCGCAAGTTGAGCTGACTCACCAACCTAACGAGCTGAAAAATACTTTAGGTTAAACTTGACTAATTAATAAACTACTCAAAATTTGATAAACCACTAAACAACTCAGTTAATTTGCAGCATAAGTTGCAAGATGCTCCAAAATCACGTCGGTCGGTGTTAACTATGACTTCATATATAGTTCATTGATATATAATATTGGCGTTCCAAGTAATTTTGTCCAAGTCTGGAAAAACGGATAAATAGTTATTCACTACAATAATATGGAAAAACCAAAATTATCCGACCTACACTTAATTCCTTTCCCAACAAGGGACCTAAGTAGGTGTCAAGGTGTGTTACTCTTAATTAAAATTCTTTCTAATTTAACTATTAACATCAAATTAATATATTTTTTCACACATGAAATGATTTCTTAGGGGTTGTTTGCTTCATGGATTTGGATCATCCATCATGGATTTAACAAAAATCCATTGTTTGCTTGCACCTTTTTTGGCGACCAAATCCGTGGGGCCCACGAATTTTAAGGCTCCTAATCCGTGGACCCCACGGACTTATAAATCCCACATGTTGATGTGGGATTTGAAACATGACATAAATCCTTGATGGGATTTTATCTATATACCCTCATGCACTTTTACTATTCCAAGGTTGCCCTCAAATTTAACTATTATACATTATAATTAATCAAGTAATTAACAATAAATGAATAAGATAAACATTCAATTAATGTGCAAACATGAGTTAGATTTTTTATATCATTTTTTGTGTTCTAGTTTTCTTTGACCTTTTCATGAAACGTGCAATTCTTTGTTCTCCCGATTCTAATATATGTTGTTATATGTTACTTTTGAAAAGGAGGACAAAGAATTGGTAATTGATTATGTTACGTTAAAAGTTAAACGGAATTTTCTAGTTTACTATTATTTTCCATGTGGCAACATTAGGCTTATTAGTATGTATTGTCCTTGTTTTGTGTACATATTCAAAACATGTCAAACATATATAAAAGGATAGTAAGGTAATTTTGAAGTTTTGTCCTTGTTTTGTGTACATATCAATATCATAAACATGTCAAACATATAGAAAAGGATAGTAATGTAATTTTGGACTTCAAGTAGTAAATTCCACACCTTTAAATCCATGATAAAAACATCTCAACAAACAAAGGATTGTTACAAATCCATGATGCCTCAAATCCTTGATAAATCCTTGGGTTTTTAAATTACAAAACCCTCATTTTTAAATCCATGAAGCAAACGACCCCTTAGTGAAAGATTTAATGTATAATATTATTCCCAATGCAAGTGCTGACATCGAAATTCTAATAAAAGATGTGTAATAAACGTTATTATTTTAGTCGACTCCTTTGAAAAGTTCGATATAACTATTGATTGCTAAGTTATGACTGATTGTGCTATGAGTTCAGATTTACGGATATACTATATAACGATGCTCTTAATCAAGTATGCTTACACTAAGTTATGGCTAATTGTGTTATGAATTGGAAATGGACGTAATATTATTATTCAATTAACCGTAATACAATTCAATATTTATCTGTAGTGGTGGGGTTTAATTCCTCAATTAGCAACGGAAACTGTCCAAAATTATTTCCCTCTCCCTCTTTTCCCCCCTTTCCTTTTCCTTTCTTTGAAAAATAAAATTTAACATATCGGCCCAAAATCAGCCGGAAAAAGGCCATTACTGATTTTCTTTTCTTTTTGGCTACTAGTCCCAGGCCCCAGCAACCAAACACTCATCTTTCTTGCTCAGCGAGAAAATTTTCAGCTCACAGATTCACAATCCAACTCTACCACTCACTGCCCTCAATTGGGTTTTCCTCAAAAAGCTCGAAAGCTGCAGTCTTGCTAGATAATATTTAATAGATTTCTCTCTTGTCTTCCTGCTCAGAGCTCAACTCTGTCGTCAAAAGAATTTCTTTCTCCTTCTCTTTCCCGTTACCCAACCTCAAGCATCGATTTCCCCAAAATAATTTCCCCTTTCTTCTTCCCTTATTACTTCCCCGAATTCCCCGGTCTATGTTCTTGCTTAGATTTCACACATGCCGGAGAAATCGGGAGTGAGCTCTCCGCGGTCCTCCACCAAGGCTCTCGCGTGGCTTTTCCGGCCCAGCCCTCTGCATCAATGGCGGTTCCACTTCCTCACCGCTCTGGTTTTCGTGAGCATGGTGGTTGTTTGGAGCATTGACGGCTGTACCATCAAGAGCTTCGTCGAATCTTTGAGGCCCAACAAGCCGCAGCAGCTACTCACCGCCGCGAAGTTCCATCCTCCAAAACCCACCGCGAATCTAGCTCAAGAAAATCCTCACCGGGAAAATTTCACCGCCGGCGCCGATTTCGTGCTCCGCAACGAAACCGCCATTTTCGCCTCCTCCGCTGCCTCCGCCGATGCTCCTGTGAGTCCTCTCCTCAGCAGCAATGGCTCCGCCGGGAGCTTGCCGGAAGATGGAATGTTACAGATGCCGGCGAGGGGGGAAGAAGAGTCGAGCGGCGGCGATGCGGAGTGGGTGTCGGCGGAGCTCGAGCCGAATCTCACCTCCGGCCTTCTCTCCCGGTGGCTGGCTCCCGGCGGGGAGGCATGTAGGGATTCACGGACGGAGGAAATCGCGATTCCCGATCTGGACGGGGAAAAGGGGGTTCTGGAGCTTACTGCCGGAGATTCACACGAGCTCGCTTTCCAGGCGGTGGACGAGTCCAAGAACCCTCGCTGCTCCGGCGGCGATTACTTCGAGTCGGATCTTTCAGGTGAGTCGTGGAAGTCTCGGCCTCTGGTCAAAGATTTCGGGAACGGGAATTACTCAATTACCCTCCAAGTTCACCCCGATTTCGCCGGAGATTACGACCTCACTCTCATCCTCCTCTACCGCCATTTCGAGGGTCTCAAATTCTCGCCGGGGAGATTCACCATCGACAAAGAGCTCCGCAAGTTCCGAATCAGATTCACCACCACAGGTAACATCCAATTACCGCAGTTAAGAGCTTGCTCGAAATCGGATTTCAGTAGAGATTTATGGGTTGGGAGATGGACTAGGCACGGTAGAAACGACAATTGCAAGATTAGTTACGACGGCCGGTACCGTTGTCTACCGGCCAATTTCCCCTGCCGGAATCCATGGTGTAACGGTTCGTTAGGGGAGTTGGAAAGCAACGGCTGGGTTTACTCCACACACTGCTCATTCAATCTCTTCCAGCCCGATTCGGGCTGGAATTGCCTCAAGAACAGGTGGATTTTCTTCTGGGGAGATTCCAATCATGTAGACACAATCAGGAACTTGCTGAATTTTGTGCTGAATCTGCCCAATGTGAAATCCGTCCCGCGGAGATTCGATTGGAACTTCACCAATCCTAACGACGCGTCTCAATCAGTTCGTATCACCAGCATTTTCAACGGGCATTGGAACGAGACAAAGAACTACCAAGGTCTGAATTCGTTGCGAAATGATGGGTTCAGGAACCTGCTGAAGAAGTACTTCACCGAAGAAACCGTGCCAGACACCATCATCATGAACTCTGGACTCCACGACGGAATATACTGGCAGAACTTGAGGAAATTCACCACTGGAGCTGATTATGCAGCTGGGTTTTGGGCCGAGGTTATGGATTCAGTGAGGCAGAGAGGGCTGGTTGCTCCGCGGGTCATTTACAGGACGACGGTGACCACAGCTGGGGACGCGAGGAAGATGGCTTTCAATCCGAGCAAGATGGAGGCGTTCAACTGGGTGGTGTTGGATAAGTTTCGCAGAGCCGGGTTGATCGATGGTGTGGTTGACAACTTCGACATGACTTTCCCCTGGCATTTCGACAACCGGTGTAGCGATGGAGTGCACTATGGGAGGGCTCCGTTGAGGATGAAGTGGAAGGACGGTGAGATTGGGCACCAGTACTTTGTGGACATCATGCTGGCTCATGTTCTGCTCAATGTGCTGTGTGCGAGATGAGAAATGGACATGGTGAACAGAAGTGGTACATAAGTATGTTCAAAACCGAATTGCAGGTATTCTGCAGGTCCTGGTTAGGAGGAGGTATTCTTTTTGTTGGTTGGTTGATGTTAGAGTTTCAGAACTCTTGTGTGCATTCTCTCCTCTTGTTCATAGCTTGTAATATATAGTACACGATGGGTAGAAGAGCGATTTACACTTGTAGATTCCGAGCCAGTGAGTCGAACGAAAGAAGAGACGACACCAATTGTGTAATGTACCTCCACCATCAGCAGAATTGGTGCTTCAACTTGCAAAGTATTGAGGTGTAAGTTTGGTGTTGTTTCATGTCTCTCTGTTTAAGGTAAGTGATGAAGCGAGAAAGCATTGGATTCTGCCTTCTTTTTGGATTATTGCAGTTATAGTTGGGGAGTGTTAAAGGGTGGATGGCACTCTTTTCCCTTTCTGGGTTGAATGCTGAAGGTGGGAGTGATATTTTAGTTAGTACTTCAGCTTAGGGGGGTCGTTTGGAAATTGGAAGTAGGGATGACAATGGGTTGATTTGAGTTTTTCCAGATCTAAGGGGTCGTTTGCTTCAAGGATTTGGTACCAAAAAACCAACTATCAAGGATTTAGGTATAATCCGTTGTTTGCTTATACCTTTTTTGGAAACCAAATCCGTGGGGCCCACGGATTTTAAGGGTCCAAATCCGTGGACCCCACGGACTTATAAATCCCACATGTTGATGTGAGATTTGGAATATGACATAAATACTTGATGAGATTTTACCCATATACCCTCATGCACTTTTAATATTCCAAGGTTGCCCTCAAATTTAACTATTATATATTATAATTAACAATAAATGAATAATATAAACGTTCAATTAATGTGCAAACATGAGTTAGATTTTTTATATCATTTCTTGTGTTCTAGTTTTCTTTGACCTTTTCATGGAACGTGTAATTCTTTGTTCTCCCGATTCTAATATATGTTGTTATATGTCACTTTTGAAAAGGAGGACGAAGAATTGGTAATTGATTATTTTACGTTAAAGTTAAAACGGAATTTTCTCGTTTATTATTATTGTCCATGTGGCAACATTATGCTTATTAGTATGTATTGTCCTTATTAGTAATGTAATTTTTGACTTTAAGTAGTAAATCCCACACCTTTAAATCCATGATAAAAACATCCCAACAAACAAAGGATTGTTACAAATCCATGATGCCTCAAATCCTTGATAAATCCTTGGGTTTTTAAATTACAAAACCCTCATTTTTAAATCCATGAAGCAAACGACCCCTAAATTCAAACTTATGGGTTTATCCGTAAAAAAATTTGGGATAAAATCCACTGGATTTGGAAAACTCAAACCCAGTCCAATCCGTAGGGGTGGAAAACGGGACGGGAACGGGTACCCATCCCATTTAAAACGGGTACCCATTCCCATTTGGAGGGAATAATCCATCCCATATCCCAAACCCATACGGGAAACGGGTACCCATTACCCGTACGGGACGGATAACGGGTACCCAAACTACCCGTATATACCCGTTGAAAAGTAACAAAATTATATAAACTTAAAAAATTTGCACCATGAAACTAACTAAATCAGTCGCCACCTGCAGCAATAGGGGTGGGCATTCGGTCGGTTCGGTTTCGACCGAACAGAAATTATGAATACCGGGTCCCCGAATTCCCCCAAACCTCAAACCGAATTCGAACCGAATTATAATTCGGTTCGGTCGGTTTAAACCGAATTATATTTCGGTTCGGTTCGGTTTTTCACACAAAACCGAATTTGTGAAACTACTTAGATTTTATCACTTTTAAATTATTTTTCACCCCTAATATAAACAATAAATATCAATTATATGCATCATCAATGATAAAATCAAACTTTTCAACACATATGTCATAAAATATTTCAAATATTTAAGTCTAAAACAACTACAAACATAAAAATCCACCATTTGGAGCTTGCAATTATAGAATTTCGGTTTTTCGGTCGGAAATTCGGAAATTCGGTTCGGTTGAAAGAACCCTGATTTCCGAACTATCCATATTTTTCTTCCGAATTCCGAATAATATTAATTCGGTTTCCGTTCGGTTTAATTCGGGTTCGGTTCGGTTCGGGTTTACCGAACCGTTTGCCCACCCCAGCAGCAAGAAGAGATGCTGCCGCCAGCTGCAACAAGAAATGCTGCTGCCACCATGAAAATATGCACACCACTTTCATTAAACAAGGACCACTAGATAAGAGGATCATCTCCTCTTCCCTCTGATAATAAACCCACAGACAGTAGATCATTTAACTTAACAGAGAACAAAAGTCAAAAGAGGTAATCTTCATTAACAATAAGCTTGTTTTATTAAATTGAAATATTAGGGTTACTGGCTACGTATTGGGTATAACGGGTACCCATACTACCCAAACGGGTATTAGCGGGTAACCCGCGGGTACACAATATTTAAATTTTCAATCCCAAGTCCCATCCCGTAATATATATTATGGGTATTTGGGTACCCGTAACCCTCAAAAAACTGGACGGGTATGAGTATACCCAAACTGAATGGCTAAACATCGCCCTAGTTTTACTAATATCGCCCTAACTTAAAACTGGAAATTACATTGAAGGACAAACAAAACAAAAGCACAAACCAAACAAATCCTAACAAAAGTCAGTCTCTCCGCCGTAGATGTTCTCTGTCTGCATCCACCCATTCCGCTGTCGACCTCCGTCAGTATATGCATCTGTTCAGGTGACCGGCGCCGGTAATAGGATTGTCCCTGACGTTAGTATATGCGTATTTGATCTTCTTTTTTAGGTCTATTTTGGTGGGTTTAAATTGAATGGTTAGTGATATGATTGAGATGTTTCAGGTGATCGTGCTATTTATCGCATAGGGGTGGTTTAGAGGGTTAACGAGAGGGATCGGAACGGGACAAATAGGTGAGAGAGTAGAGTGGAAATGGAAGGGCGAGACTCGGAGAGTGACCATAGACGACTCCCGCCGGATTAAGGAGTCCATGGCCTGAAAATTGTTTTAAACTAAAATTGGAGGTTCTGATGGCAAGAGGAGTTACCGAATGGGAGGAGACATCAACTTCCATGAGAGAGAAGAGTGGGAGGACACGACTTTGACAAGTAAATGGTTGTTTGCTAAAATGAAATATTTTTAATAATAAAAACAAAAAGGATAGAAAAGTAATTAAGTTAGGGCGATCGTAAATGTTAGGGCGACAATTAGCAATTCCCATACCCAAATACCCGTTTCCCGTTGGCCACCCCTACCAATCCGTTGGGTCCATGGTTTTTTGTGGTAAAAAATTTACAATAACAAGTTGCTATCAAAATAAAATTCAAACATCAGTTTTCCTTTACAAATTATTCATACATAAAACACCACTAGAAAATTCAAACAAATCACAATTACACTAAATAAAGCACACAGAATAAGTGTAGTCACTGAAATATTCACGTTTGGTCACTAAAAGAATTTTATTTCATTCATGGTCACTGAAAGTGCTTAACATTTCACGATTGGTCACTCTCCGTTAATCTTCGTCCGTCTCCGTTAACAAAGTCCGTTATCTGCTGACGTGGCTAACAGCGTCGCTCAATCAGCTTCATTTAACAAAAAAAAAAAAAGAGACTCGACCCGCCATGTCAATTTTACCTGCATGTCATATTAACCTAACCCAACACGTGGACCCAACCCATAAAACGGTCAGACCTAAGAATAACCATATCGAATTAAAATTGAGAGACCATCTATTTCAATCCATCTTCTTCCTCCCCGAACTCTTCCTCTTCCCGTCTCTGCTAATTTCTCTGTTACTAGGGAGTTGAGGAACACTCTCATTCTCAATTCCACCAAAAATGGCAGGCATTGGCGTGTTTATTTGCTGTTGCAGGGAGCTGGGGAACGGGTTCCCGGATCACTTATGTGCGGGCCTACCGGAATTGGGACTGACGATGGTGAAGGGAGGCAGAAATCTGCCTAAGGAGGTGAACCTGAGGGAGGCAATCCGTAGTGCGATTGAGGATTCAACCTTCTCCGTCGTGATCCTCAACCGCGAATTCGCTTCTCACAGTCCCACCTCGATGAGCTTTTTCTCTAGTTGCAGGTTGAACAACCCGGATCCAATCTCCTCGGTGGCAGCGGGGATTCTACTTCTGACTAAATTAAGGAGGACTACTTTGAGATCTCATGGACTTCGACCTCTCCATAGAGCTCCCTCCGCAAACTCATTGTAATTCCTACGCACAGAAGCTCCCCACTGCGAGGTCCTACTCCACCGTCTAAGCAACGTAACCGCCGTTGGGACTCCGTAGAGGCGGACCGTCTGAATTCGGGAAGGATGAGTTAGATAGAGAGCATGATGGGAGAGTATGATTCTGATTCCCATATTGGCTAGGGATTTGATAATGATCGAGTCAGCTCCGTAGGAGGCAGACCGTCTGAATCCACAATGGTTGTAGACAGCCAGTGGAAGAAGATGAAGAGACGTGTCAATAGTGGAAGTAGAGGGTAGGTTAGGTTGGGTTGGGTCGAATTGGATTGGTTTGGCTTGGCTTGGGTTAGGTTTTATGACGTGGCTGGTCGGGTTCTGGATTTTTTGGGATTAAAATTGGGTGATTAGACTTTTCTGTTAGCCACATTAGCAGATAACAGACTCTGTTAACGGCAATGGACGGAGACTAACAGAGTGTGACCAATCGTGGAACGTTAAGCACTTCTAGTGACTATGAATGGAATAAAATTCGTTTAGTGACCAAACATGAATACTTTAGCACTTTCTGTGACCAACCTTGCAATTTACCCAAATAAAATTCAAACATCAATTTTCCTTTACAAATTATTCATACATAAAACACCACTAGAAAATTCAAACAAATCACAATTACACTAAATAAAGCACACAGAATAAGTGTAGTGAGAGTTAGATTGGAGGAAATTAGAATTAGGGTAGGGTTGGGGAGAGTAGGGCGACGAAATAAGTCGGGTATCC